AGAACGACTATATCTGAGCGTTTAGCCTTTCTCACCAAACTAGACAGCTTTTGGTAGAACTCATCCTTCGTTTCATCCGAACTGCAGTCAGTGGGGGCGTAGGCGGAGATTACGAAAAGGCATCGGCGAGTAGTGCAGTCCTTTCTCCTTCTTACTGATCCGTTCAGACGGACAGCACACATTCGGCTATCTACCGGGATCCAGTCAAGCAATGTCTTTTCTGCCCTAGTACTCAAGCTATCCCTACGCCAGCTAATCCTCGTGAACTAGCTGTGGCATCTCCTGACACCCTCAAGGTGAATTTTGAAGATTCATCCTGTTGGCCAGGTGGGGTTAGGTGAATAACCACACTTGGGTCTTGTATGCGTGTTTCTGAAACACAACATACATCAATGGCTCGGATGCCAGGGTCTTAGCTAGTGATGCTTGTTGTCCTATTTGGCAAAGTGTCCTAACATTAAATGCTCCTATATGAAATTGGTGGCGTGGCTTTAGGAGACTATCGGTGGTGGTTTTTTGGCTTCCGTCGTTTTTAGTGGACACAGAGTGAAGAGGGAGTGAGGAGCCATCAAGTAGAGGAGTTGCATCAGTGGAAGGAAGGCAAGATAATAGAGATGAAGATGAAGACAAAGATGAGTGAGGATTAGAGAGGTTTCGTGTGCAAAACGTGGCATCTCTGAGCTGATGAAACTTGGCGACTCCAATATTCGATCATCGCTACCTCTGCAGAACTGATTACGTCGAGAAGTGTGTATGGACACAATGGAGGTCATCTTTTATTGAGTGTGATCACCTAGAAACATCAACTTTGGTGGCTTGGACATGCCTATAAATGTCATTCAAATGGATCTCGTGCCATTCACTATCTGCTAGCGCTGTGATTGAGTGGAATAAGCATAAGGATATTCAGCCCATAAAAAGGCGCCAAGGAATGAATGGTAGCTGTGTCAGGTTAGCATTTGTTGGTGCGTTACCACTTCATGGGTGTGGTTCAAGCGATAATAAGAATCAGTGACTCAAGACTTCATCAGACATGTAAAACTTGGGCTATTAAAAACCTTCACCATATAACAAACTCCGCTGGAAATTCTGTACATTACATAAACATTTTCAGAATAAAGCTATTATTATATGGCTAACAATCGCAATCAATGGCGAACATGCTTCAATTTCCTTCTTTCTTCCCTTTCTGAAAGTAACATGAAATAATGAAAGATTATTGATGTGACAAGTATGCTTACTTGCTTTTTTTATTACAGCTTGATTCCACACTGTATTTTTGGTACAAGTATGGAACTTTCAGCATGGATATCGGTAGCCCAAATTTTGCAGGCCGACCATTGATATCAAGTGTACGTCGGCAGGGGATCGAACCCCGGACCATGTGCATAGTCGGCGAGAGTTCTAACCACTGTGCCTTACTCATTCCATCTCTATTTTCCTGACATATGATTGTTTTATTATTTTTGTGTGGTTCATCTCTTGGTATCCATAGTGTCACAAGCTTGTCTTTCAGTCAAGAAAGTGAAGTCTGCAGTGAGCTTATCAATCGTTGCTAGATAAATCCTGTGAGTTGTGTGGTAAAAAACCCAAACAATCGCATTGGTCTACTCAGGTAATTACGCTTTCCAGTCTGACTGCTTACACACTATACTGCAAGAGTGTTTCACTTAGCTCGTGTTTCTTAATGATTGTTTTCAAAACATTATCATAAAATAATGAGAAAAAAATACATGAATACAATCAGTTATATCACTATTAACCCAATCATCATGTCTACTACTTAGTCAAGTAAAGAACGCAAAAAAAAAGTAGGCGAACTTTTGTACCAGATTACGGACTGTTGTTAACTGAACCCTAATGTAGAAAAGGAATTCAATTAATCAAAGGCAATAGCATATATGCTTACATTCTTTTCAGTATTATATATATAAATATACTCTGCTCATGTGATGGTAGCCTTAAGGTGCAAATAATTTTGAATTACTAGCTGAAGTATACACGATCAGCTGATTAACATTAATACTAATTGCTCATAAGTACATACGACTAAAGAATAAAACTGTAAGCCAGAATTCATTCAGTGAACAGAGGTAACTACTTTTTAAAAAAAGAAGAATATAAGTATATATAGGCTAAATATAAATATTTTTTGTTGAGCAAAATTTTCAATTTCTTTTTCTCTTTTATTTGTACTCATCAAATTTGCATACTTATTTTGATCCCTATTTATCTGGATACACTAAAGGCAAAATTATGAAAACATAATTTAACTATAAAACTTGATGTTGTTTAAAGGTAAATAAATAAATGATAAATATACCAGTTTGATTACTGAAAATCTTAGATAATCCAACAGAGAAGAATTGTGTATAAAGGGGAGTGAGATCAGTATGAGAAGAAAAGTAGATTACAGAAGTGATATCTATTGGCTTAACTTCTTTTTTCCTTTTTTACCTAAAAATAAGACATAATATATTTTCAGCTACTGGGGAAAAATACGACCCATCTTGCGAAAATTACTGCTTCCATCTAAATTTATATTATAGCTTCATAGACATCTAAAAGTATTATATAGTGCGACAGTGGCAGCACAGCAGTAGTATGCTCACCAACCAAGTATATGGTTCGGTGTTCGACCCCCGGCCGACGCACTTCTTTACTTCACTAAGCTAGTTATAAGACTGGTAAAGAGGGAAGATTGGGCATGAGGCTAGCAACTCCATCCAGTAAAAATAAGCACCATTGCCAAAGAAACTTTAAAGCTCTAACTTGAAGTCCTATGTTCCCCTGGGAACGTAAAGGAATACAATTAATAATAATAGTAATAATAAAAAGTATTTTATGAAAAATAAATAAGGGAATAATACGACAGCTGACTGTCGTAATAAAAGTGAAATTATGCTGCTAAATTTAAACACCTAACTAATGCAAATGATTTGATTCAGTTCATATATGTCGCCAAGACAGATTAGGACATTTTATCCAGACTGACTGCTAACAACATGGTATACTACAAGAGTGTTTCACTTAGCTTATTACGACAGTACTACAAAAGTCATAAGTAGACAGATTCACATCAGTTTTAAGCATGATTTAATCTAATAATTATGTTAGAAATTGGATGCAAAAAAAATACAGTTGCAGTTATAACTATGCCACCCTATTGTTTAATGAACTGGTTATCTACAAGACGCGAAAAATTCTAAAATCTATACATCCTCATAAAAACAAATAAGGATGTTTGAAAGAAACAGTGAAACTCAAAACGAGATGTAAAATGAAGTAGAACTAAGGTTATTCAACGCAAATCAAATAAGAACTGATCTGCGAATGTTAATATAACACACACACACACACACACAAAAGACTTTATCAGACATAAGCATCAAGCGGTTTAAATCACTAAAGACAGATCAAATAGAAGGAGCATAAAATGAATCAAAATTCAGACAGAAATCAGATGTCAATCAATCAAAACAATCTTCACTGTTCACTCCAACGAACTTCGAAAGACTCACGAACAAAACTCAGCATGAAAAGTAGTAAAACTTTTAGAGAATAACTTTCGAGTGAACAATAGATATGCAGTCATAGTTAAATATTAAGTTCCTGTAACATATTCAGTTCAATAGGTAGTAACACGCAGAAGTCTTAAGCTGTTATTTGTCAAATGTTGACATGTGTTTTTATATTTGAATACACAGTTTTACTGGATCATGAGTTTGGGTGAGCGTCGATGGCGTAGCGGATAGGACGCTCGCCAACCATGCACATAGTCCGGGGTTCGATCCCCGGCCGACGCACTCCTTTACTTCACTTATCCAGCAGTAAGACTGGTAAAGAGGAAAGGTTGGGTATGAGGTTAGCAATCCCATCCTGTAGAAATAAACACTGTCACAAAAACTTCAAGCCTCTAGCTTGAAGCCCTATGTTCCACTGGGAACGTGAAGGAATAACATATATATATATATATATGAAAACCTCTACATATTGCCATATTGCCAAATGTTCAGTGTGTGTACGCAGTGTTGGAGACAGTAGATTATTGCGTTCACAACTACTCAAAGATGAGAAAAATGAGCCATTTAAAAGCATAACTGACAGACTGACTGGTTTCAACGTAGAAATTTGCACCTATGTGCAGTAGTTCGAGTCGCCACATTTCATTCAGCACACAAAACAAGAGAAAATAGTAAAAACACATTCAATAGACCGACAGCTGCTACCTTGACGTGGTGGTCGCGCTTGCATATCGCAATAACCCAACAAACTACACTGTCTGGAACTATTGTTCCTGCAGGTCCTGTCATGCCATGAAGATTGTTAGGATAGCGATTAGATTAAAAGCAGCTACCGGCTTAGTGTAAGAATTTTTTGTTTTACATTATGCTTGGGGTCTTCGGGCAAAATCGTACTGTTGGAGGACAAGGATGTAACGGCAGTGGAATGTTTCCGGCAGATGACCAGCTATGCTCTCTCCACTCTGGAGGAGGGAGTTAGAAAAGGTCGACCCCAAAAATTGTACATCCCGACTTACCCTACTGTGGTCCGTAACCGGCGGTAAATTTGCTAATACGGAACCAATCCAAGAAACTAGTTTATTCAGGCCGTGTATGACCTGCCTAAAACAGTTGTCCCTTGGGCTCTGCGGTCACGCAGCTCTAACTCTCTTACTGTTCCAAGTACCCAAAGAATCAATAAACTTCCACGGTGTGGACAGCTAGGAAGTAACAACCGCCCACACACCCCTAAAAGCACACGAAGCCCTCCTAAGCAATATCATTCTCCTTTACCCACATTAAAAAGTATAAAGCCATCTTGGATATACCGATTGACACATTTTTGTGACTACTTACAATTTCGCCAGTCTTCATATAACCAAACAAAAAGTTGACACTTTCTACAAGAACTAGAGTAGGCTTAAACGGTTAAACAGATATGAGCTGAAAACAATAGCACGAGCAGAAAGTGCAATAACATGTAAGAAAATGACTTACTTTTCATAAAATCTAAACAAGAGTCAGAAACACTGACATTTTCAGGGAATTTTAAATAAGTTTCATGATTCATAATATGTGCATAGGTATTCACTAGTGTTTCTGAATAAAATGGTGTAACACCATAAAGCATTTCATATATTACTACACCTAACGCCCACCAATCAACTTCAAATCCATAACTTCCGCCACCGATACCCTAAAGAAAACGAAAAGAAAAAAAACAACAGATATTGCCATTAACAGTAACAAATTGGAAGAAACAGGCAACGAGAAGAGCAAACAAAAAAGGAAATATGAAAAATAAAATATTTATTGCCATTAGACAAAAATTCGTTACCCACTCGCAACAATTTTTTGCTACTCTTGATCAAGACTTATTGGGTATTATAAATATAATCAAAGCATCAAAGATAGAACTCCAAGTAAACATAGAGAAAACAGAGGTGATGAGGATTCCCGGCCAACACCAACAGCAACAACAGACAACAATAAGCATAAATGAGGGGAACCTGGGAGAAACAACCTCCTTTACCTACCTGGGAAGCATCGCTGAACTACAGGCAGACGGAACTGACGAGGATATCAAAGCAAGAATCGGAAAAGCAGGATAAGCTTTCGTTACTCTCAAGTCTATGTGGAGGTCAACAGCACTCAGCATGAAAAATAAGATCAGGATTTACAACTCCAATGTGAAGTCAGTGCTACTTACTAGACGGATCAGAGACTTGCATTGTGCGTCATGAAGAGCACCTCGAACAAACTACAGACCCTCCATTAACAGTTGTCTTCGCTCAATACTCAAAATCAGATGGCCATTAAAAATCAGCAACAGGGATCTCTGGGAGCAAACCAACACAATAGAAACTGATTGTGCAACAAATAAGCAGGAAGAAATGGAGGTGGATTAGCCACACTCTGAGGAAACCATTATGCGACATCACTAGACAAGCCCTCGAGTGGAACCCGAAAGGGAAGCGGCGAGTTGGTCGTCCAAGGGTGACTTGGAGGAGGTCATGTGAAGAGGATAAGAAAGGTTGTGGTCAGTCTTGCAGTCAGGTGAAATCCCTAAAACTTATATTTGTGATTTTATAAGAAGCGAACTACAGTAAAGATGAATGAGTACTTTTAGACTTCATTATATAATCTATCTTGATTATTTAGAGCTTTCTTGTGGAAATTTGGCTAGTTAACTTAAGCACCTGATTTCAATCGATTGGTTTTCCAATTGGTTTAAATCCCGTCACAACTATTACATCATCAGCTAAAACAATAAATGTTGTCTATAGCCTGCTGCATGAGAAACCTATTCCAAGCAGCTGACTTCCTTAAGAAAATCTCTGGCTAACCAATGTGAGTACATGGAATTCAAACAACGTATGGGAATATTAGCCCAAAGAATCTTACTAATTTAAAAATCCTCTTCATCAAACCACAAGGACACTACCTTATAATCTAGTACAGAAATATAATACATGATATCTGAGTAATCTTTTTTACTCCTTTGCAATCAGAGTGGAAATAAGGCTTCATGCTTTGGCGTTTCATAAGTGGTGGTGTTGTGGCTTTTTATTCGATTGGGTGGGGTTGCTACTCTCACACTCAACAATCCCTCTTCTCCTGGTTGACTGGCAGCTACACCGGGTCTAAGCAGTGAGTCAACTAGGAATCGAACCCGGACCTACTGCCTAGCTGAAGAGCCCTTAACAATCAGAATGCTGATTATTATATATATATATATATATATATATATGTATATCCGTTAATACATATCATTTATTATAAACCAGAACTCAGTGAATTCATACATATTTTTAAATATAATTAATCAAAGTCTAAGTTTAAATTAACCTAGAGTTCTGTTTATAGACTATGACAAAATGATCGTTTATTTATTTTAATTTAAAATCCAATCACGGTATTATGAGAACGCTTCATTATATTGAGAAAGATTAAAACAATGCAGAGTGAAACTATTAATTTAAGACAGAGTTCACACAAAAGAAACGGAGTCATTCATACTAATTTCTGAAAATGATGTTTGGGACAACAATTTACTATGCAAAAAACAACCCAACATATTAGTGAGTAAAGATTAGTCATAATATTACAAAATAATTAACACTTGATAAAACAAGAATAATACCCGAAAATATAATAACCGACTACAATATGCGGAATGATTACAAGACATTCCCAAGATATTATATAAAATGCACAAATAGGTATTAAAAGAATTCGAATAAAAATATTCTAACTGATAGATGAAAAATAAGAATTTCTAGAATAGCAGATTGTTTCATATGCAGTTTTACAATACATAGCGGATGACAAAGGAGCGGTGACAATAAAAATCAACGGAATGCACTAAATAAGGTGATAAAATGACTCAAATACTAAACAAATATAATGATAAGGTTTGAAGGACTTCATCATGAACTGACGTCAATTAGAGAACCATTGGGAAACCTGGAAATACTGGACAGTTGTGATTGTACACTTCTGAATAGTTTCAAACGGGTGGAAATCAGCCTTTCAGTTGATATTCAACCGCTTCTATTCTAATGTTGTTTTTAATGAATACTACGATGAATTCATTTAATTTTTAAGGTGAGACGATGGTGAAAAGGGTACTATACCACAATAAGTCGACATTCCTCATGTTTATTCGATGAAACGTAATATGATACTGTATCATTTACTGCATACAGTTTTAGGCATAATGCATTGTCTATAAACACATCAAGAACATTCAGTAAATAATACTGTATCGCATCGGTGTTACATCAAACCAACACAATTAAAGTAGGAATACATTTTAATAAAGTGGCCATATTTTGAAAAGTATGCAACCGGCTCGAATCTTACCAAAATTTCTGCTCGAATTGACTGTAATGTAAGCTAAAACAACAATATCACCTAGTCTGTCTGCCTGTTTTCGACATAAAACTTTGCACATATGTGCGGAGGTTTAAGTCGCCACACTCCATGTAGCACACAAAGCACGAGAAGAAATGCTAAATAAAGACAGTAAACAGAGGTGTGAGACGAGGGAATATTGATAACGAATAACAATATAGTTTCATTGGAAATCATAAGTCACAAGGAGTGGATGCATCTGCGCCATTGACAACGATTTTGAGCCATATCACCAATTGTTCCCAACCATTGATTTTTACCGTCCCGAGGACCCCAACCCAGAAGTCTACATATTCCTACATGGCTTAAACTAACTGTTGTAGATTTCATTGACTGGTGACATGTTTTGGTTTGACCGCCGTTAGCTCTTTTCCAGCCTGACCCTATGTCAGTTAAAATTGCCCGTCGAGGAAGGAAATGACTAGGCATGTGTAACACATGTCCTAACCATATCAGTCGATGTAGCTTCACAGCCTCGTCCATTGATTTCCCCTCCTTGCCTAGCACTGGACTGATGCCTAACCTCAATATTGCTCACCTTATTATGCCACCTCACACGGGAGATAGAGCGCAGGCACCTATGATCAAAGATAGCTAATCTTTTCATGTCTTCCACTCTCAGTGGCCAGGTCACAGTCACAGCTATAAAGCAGGACGAACCGAACCGCTAAGCAGTACACACGCCCTTTGGTCGAAAGCCGGATATCACGTCTACGCCAGAGACGGCGTAGACTGGCAAATGCGAAACGACCCCTCTGTATCCGTGCTGAGATTTCGTCAGAGATCAACCCGTTGGCGCTGGCTGATGGTACTTCCCAAATAAGTGAAGCGGTCAACGTGCTCTACCACTTCACTTCCTATTTCTAATATAGGAGTCGGTGTAGTCTAGTCTTGTAACATCATCTTGCATTTGGCAGGAGCGAATCGCATGCCAAACATTCGTAGATTGCAGCTCAAGGTGTTCAGAAGACTCTGCATTTCGTCAGCGTCTTCGCCTAGAAGGACTATATCGTCTGCATATTCTAAGTCAACGAGATTATTCCCTGGTAGCAAGTCAATCCCTGAGTCGCTGAAGTCACTTAGGGTTAAGTCCATCAGTACATCTATGACGAAGTTGAATAGAAAAGGGGATAATGGCCATCCTTGACGGACACCACTAGTCGTCACCACTTCAGATGACAACTCGCCGTAAGCCCTCACCTGGCTGTATCAGTGTATGGCTGTAGAGTGCCTTAATCAGTGCAATGTATTTTCTCGGAATTCCTTTTACAGCCAAGCATCTCCAGAAAACTTCTCGATCGACAGAGTCGAATGCTGTCTTTAGGTCAAGAAATATAATGATTGTTGGACGCCGGTAGGAATTCCTATGTTCTAGAATCTGTCGGAGGGTGAAGATATGATCAATACACCCTCTTCCTGGTCTAAAGCCTGCCTGGCTCTCTCGTGTTTGTGCCTCCCGAGCACCACTTAGTCTTCGCAATATTATTCAGCCTAGGACTTTAGATGCTATGATTAGTCAGGCTAATCTCTCTTTGATTATCACAGGAAGACTTGTTTCCCTTCTTGTATATGGGGATAATTAGTGACTTACACCAACCTGATGGGACTTCCTCTGATTCCCAGACGCTGCCTAGTACCTCAGTATCTCAGCTACCTCAGTACCTCACTTAGTATTATACACCAGTGTCTACACACGTACCGAAATTAAAAGACATCCGCTAGCATCAGACTAGCGAATATCTGAGGAATCTAGAACTCTTGTTTCATTCAATACAAAGCTTATAGAAGAGAAAGTACTACTACTATTACGATAATTGGTATGTTAAATTCACTGCTTAAAATAATAGTAATAGTGTCCATCAGTATAATCATTACAGTCCTACAGGCAGTCAAAATAGCTCAGTGGTAACGTCTTGACTTTACCATTGAGTGGTGTGGGGTTCGAAACTTTGAGGTGACATAACTTCCTTGAAGATTCCACAACCGCTTTGTTGATGAGTGCAGATAGGCACGAAATCCAGGTCGAAAACTACCTTACGATTGCTTTCAACCAATTAACTTCAATCTATTATCAGTTAAAACAAAACAAGACAAGAAGTGATGTTTCTCTAAAATACTATGCATATAATAAACAGAAAAGAAATATTGATCGGATTCACTGTCAGCATGCATTCACCAAAAAAACAATAAGTTAAGCTTGCGATTTTTTCCGTCATTCACTTTTTCTCTTAGTAAATTCTTTTTATCAATTCTAGTATAACATTTCTATCATACAAGTTC